CTGTTGCCTGTAGCTGGCAAAGAGAGACCAGAATAAGAAACTTTGGAGGGCGCCTTCAAGGAGAAGTAGCATATTATGCTCCATGTGGAAAGAAACTTAGGCAATACCCTGAAGTAATAAAGGTACATACTCTTCACCAAATAACATACATTTGGTGCCTATTAAGCATGTTTATGGAAAAAAGGTGCTCTCCTTTCTCAGATAAAGTTCCTTGATTCAACATATTCTCTTATATGGGTCTAAATGTACTTAACTTAAATTGATCTTCTCTAAATCCATAGCCCCTTGATAGAATATGCAAAACATTAGTGTCCTGAAGAAAGCTCTACATCAAAGCTGGGTTGTAATTATTAAAACCTGAAGTGGAAAAATATGTGATTTTTTCAGTATCTCAGCAGAAATGGAATAATGGATATCTCAAGGGACAATTTCAGCTTCAGTGCAAAAATAAGAGTGGGTGACTTCTATGAAGCCAGAGATGGACCGCAGGTATCCACTTTTTAAAAAGTATAGTCTTTAAACCAAAAAGTAGTACCATAACCTAAATGAAGTAAATTTCACTACACTCTGAAGCATTGCCTTTTGTTAGTTAATTCGTATAAGCTATACATATAACTTTGTGGTTAACACTCACCAAGGCCTCAATTTACTATATTCTAGTAACAAGGAGCTTTGACATAATAGATGTCTTTTTCAAATTTTTTAAGTCATCATTTTCCTGTTTATTTATTTTGTCAACAATTTTACAATTTATACAGGTATAAAATTATCTGCATGTTCCCGTGAAATATAGAAAAACATTAGTTCCCTGAAAGGTAAACTAATTTAAAGGTAAATTAATTTGAATAGGAAAAATATGTTGTTAGAAGTCAGTCCTTAGTTTTTTGGGAAGGATCTTGTCCATCTGATTATGCCATGCTACATGAGCCATTTTCACAAGTTTGATAATTTGGGGTTTGGGGACATTTCCTTACTATTAGGTGAGTGAAATTTCTGCTTTTTACAGAAATTGAATTTTTCACTTAATTATATACATTTCTGAAAATATCACCACAACTCCCTTTTTGCCTGTGGGTTAAGTACACAACCTTACCAATCAGCAGGAAGAACCCACCACAGAGACTTCATTTCCTGTATGTTTCCTTTAGGATTTTGCTTTTGTTTCTTACTTGGATTCAGCTACATATGCTTATTATTCCCTTTAACTTTGTCAGCTCCACTGAAGGAGGACCTAGTTAAGGAGTAAGGAGACCTAGATTCTTGTTAACCTGTGAAATAGACTTTGTGATTTCAAGCATCAAAATAATGCCACCTTTTCCCTCAATTTCTTTGTCTGCAAAATAAAGACAATAATAATTTTACTTCTGCCTCATAGGATTATGGTGAGGTTAAAATGAGATCATATGCATGAAAATGTTTCAAAAGGTTAAATTGCTCAGCCAACTGAAGCTGATATTTTCTTTCTTGATTGACTCTTTCTTCCTTTTGGCACAGAAAGAAATTTTTTCCAGTAATAAATATTTTCTAGTGTGAATAGGCAGGTTCTTCCATCCTATCTTACCCTCTAATATTATAGTTAAAGAAATAAAAAAAGGCCTTCCTAATTCTGCAGGAGGTTTTTTTTGAGACCTCAGACATTAAGGGAATTTTTCCAAGATCACACAGTCTCAACCAGGCAGAGACATAACTAAAACTTAGGGTTTCTAACAGTGGTCTTTTACATTCATCATATAACCCATTTTCATTATTGTCTGTTACTTTTTAAAGAACATGTTGCATCCAGTTCCGCTTGTTTCTTTCCTGGTAATTCTAAAATGCCAAAATATATTTCTCTGAGGCTTAGCTTCTTGATTGAAATATATTCTAGAGGGCACCTGGGTGGCTCAGTCGTTAAGCATCTGCCTTCGCTCGGGTCATGATCTCAGGGTCCTGGGATCGAGCCCCACATCAGGCTCCCTGCTCCCTGGGAGGCTGCTTCTCCCTCTTCTGCTCCCCCTGCTTGTGTTCCCTCTCTTGCTGTGTCTCTCTCTGTCAAATAAATAAATAAAATCTTTAATATATATATATATATTCTAGGATTTTTCTCTTTTTATTTTTTAAACTTAAAAAATGTTTAGGGGCACCTGGGTGGCTCAGTTGGTTAAGCATCTGCCTTTGGCTCAGGTCGTGATCCCAGAGTCGTGGGATTGAGATGCCTGTTGGGCTCCCTGCTCAGTGGGGGGTCTGCTTCTCCCTCTCCATCTGCCTCTCTCCCCACTCATGCTCTCTTGCTCTTACTCTCTGTCTCTCAATAAATAAATAAAAATCTTTTTAAAAAAATTTTTTAAATAAAGATTTATTTATTTAAAAAAAAGTTTAAACTTAGACTAAATCTGTTAGCATACAGATCCTCAGAATTTTATTGTTATTATACCCACTTCCATATATACTGGATCAGTTTCTTATCACAAAAAATAGTAGAAAACAATAATAATCTTATTTAAAATCCTAGTCATTTTTTAATCTTTTGGCTCATGGTATCAAATCCTTACTTGTCTTATTTATGACAAAGATATCCTTATGTGTTTAAGTTGAATAGATTTTTGTTCTGAGAGGAAAGCTAATTGCTGTTCAATACATAAAGGATTTTTAGTTTTGTATCAGTGACAATTAGACTTAATCTATAAAGCCTCATTAGGCAGAATAAGATGTTCTTTGACATCCATTCACTTTTTATTAAACATAATCAGTGTTTCCAAATGTGTATTGCTTTGTTGAGAGATCAATTCATCAAGGAAATATGATGAATTACTAAATTCAGAATATGTTAAGCTGCCAACATTTCGGCCGACTGCTAAGGGAAAATATTAGCAATTTTGAGAGCACTTCTGTCAGTTAAAAAAATTAGTAAGTTGGATTTGTTTCAGGATACTTTGAGAGAACAACAATTAAAGGTAAGTAATCCAAGAAAAGTTCAGTTAATTAGAAATGTATATAATTATATAATAATTTTCTATGAAAATGAACAAAAATTATATATTTTTGTTAGAGTAACTATGATGTGTGATAATTTGATTGGCCTAAATTTTGTAGAAGATGTAAAATATAGTTTGGCCAAGCCACTGGTACTATGCAGAAATGATCTGTGTGCGTTTACAGTATGTCTGCCTTTATACAAATTGCAGAAAGGGAATGATGACTATATAGATACTGAAAAACAAAACTGCATATTGAAGGATTGGGAGAAAATGTGTCAAGATTTAAATGATAGATGTAATGGTTGGTGGTACAGTGGATCACTTTTTTTTCTTTCTACTTTTTGTAAGTTTCACATTTTCTAAAATTTGCTTGTATTACATACAAAGTGAAAAACAATTTTATATTAAAAAATAAATACTTCTACCCCTTCTAAAAAAGGTAAGCATTCAGTTTTCCAAATGCATGCAGGTTGTACCTAATGACTTGGAATATTACTGCTACAGTTTTCCAAGCTTCATTTATCTTTTTTGGATGTTTGATAGCAAATGAAATGCTGTATTTGCAGATTTGTTACTATTCTTAGTCACTTTCCTAATAAACTGTTTGCATTGGAAAATATTTCTCCATCATATTTTTCTTTTTTCTCATTAAGTTATCAAAAATAACCAATATTAGTTCTGTAAGTTCTCATTTTCTTCAAGGCATTTCAAAAATTTCAGTAGTGGTATTGCAAAGCTCTATGTTTTACAAATAAAATTTAGGAAATGATAATTTCTGCTAGAAGATAATTCTAGTCTGCAATAGAGAACCATAGTTATTTTGTAAGTTATTTTTCACTCAAGGTATTTCTGAGCTTAAGATAGATTATACATATATTTATTAACAGCAAACATTTGAAAATATTGACTCACTGTGCATATAATACAATAAGAGGAGAGGTATGAGAGCTTATATTTATTGAAATTTAAGTAAATAGACAACAATCTAATGATTGCTTTCAAAATGTAAGAAAGAAAAGTCCTTGATTAAAGTAAATAGAGAGAAATGGGACGCTTTAATCTATTCATTATCAGTGTTATTTATTTCAGTCTACAAATGTGGTAAGAGATTTGTAGAATTAGCTACTTGTCAGTGTCTTCTGATACTTACATGCCAATCACTTCCTACAGGCTTCTATAAAAACCATGATTTTAGGGATAATAGGCTTCATGGAACAAAATGAACCCTCTTACAAGGCCATGCTTTACTGGCTGGCTACCTTGTAATGAAATTCTGTTAACTATTTTAGCCAGTGAAACTCCTTTGAAAAGAGTTTAAGGTAAATGGATTCCTTACAGACTTCTGCTTCATCACATTATAAAGAACTTGTTAAACCTAATGTTTATCGTTGTTTTCATTTTATTTTGGTTTTGGGTGTCAAAATAATAGTAAGGATGAGCTCGACATATTTTGGTAAATATAAAATAAGGTTATTTTTATTTACCTAAAGAAGATACTTAGGTAAAAAGGTTTCCACATTTTTATAGGAATATCTGAAGGCTTCAAGATAAATTATTAATGACAAAGATTATTTTGAAATATATGATCATCTACTTTGAAAAGTATTTTTGTGAATTGTAGAGAAGAAAATATTTAAGCATGAATGTAATAATTAAATTTATTTTTTCAACCAGTATGTTCATAAGCATAGACTAATGAATGTTTACTGTATTCAGGATAGAAAAACAAAGAGAAGGAAGGATGCAAAGAAGGACCAAGTTAAAAGTGACTTAGTAAATGCTGCCTTTTCTATTTGAGATGTATGTTTTTTAAAAAGATTTTTTTTCTTTTTAATGGTGTAAGGCCATGAGAAAAGAAAAATATTTATAATTCTTACTGAAAAGAGCCTTTTTTCTTAGTCATTTAATCAATAAATATTTGTGGCAAATACTTAATGTGCCAGGCGTTTTCCCCCCAGATAAATTTTCCCTAAAGGCATTTTCCATAAAGAAAACAGAACACATTTCAACACTACAGAAATGAAAACCTGGCTTTGAAAAAACAAAACTAGTGTTTGTAGAGAAACTGAAGAGTACAAAAGACATAAGAGTTATGATCACTGGCTTAGAGAAGATAAAACACTGAGCATAATGCTGTCCCGCGAAAATCAGGATTTCGTTAGTAAGGAATATCGGAGACTTCACAATAAAGCAGACAACACACAAGTCTCTGGCAAGATTGTAATGCTGCTAATTATTTCATATAAGTAAAGAACAAAAGATTGGGAGTCAACAACTAGGGTTCTAATTCAACTCTGCTGTTAACTGTCACACCTAATGCAACATAGCTGTGGGCCTATATGGACACTGAGAACATGAAAGATCAGTACCAGAAATCTAAAAAACTGAAAATTTAGGTCACTAATCTACCAGGTAGGATTTTTGATGGATAGGCAAGGGCCTCTACTAGGAGGCCAACTGTATGAATCCAAGTTTGGAGCTAAAGAGGTATTTGAAGGTCATGGCTCTTAGAGGGTAACCTACTGTGAGTAACTAGAAAGCATGGCCAGCATTGTGGAATAATTGTATCAAACCACATCTTTCTCAGTGGTTTTTAGTAGGTGATGCCCATCTCCCCAGCATAAATAATCTTACTCTTTCACATATTTGAAATGCTATTCAGCATATGATAATAAACTATATGATTATAGTAGATTAAGAATCCCCAGTGCTGTAAAGTTCATGGTACATAAAGCTCTCACTACTTATCTCTGCACTGTAAAGTAACTAAAAATAGATATAATGCTAAAATATGAAATAGGCATAAGGAAATTCAACAAAATTTTGATTTTTCTCATGATACTAACTTTAATGTTTTTCTTAAAATGGGAATTTCTGTCAAAAATATTTGATACCCTCATGTTGCTTGTGCCCTGAAATTTTTCTTAGACTCCTGGCAGGGTAACTCAGCATCCTAATGTTACTTTGAAAAGCTGAGGCCTACTTTTCTAGGCCTTAATTTCCTCATCTCTAATGTGAAGGATATATATCATAGAAGGTCTTTAAGATCAATTCCCTCTTAGGTATGACATTCAAAAAGCTTTTTAATTAATTTTTAAGAAATAAAGGATTCTGAAAGTATACTTATAAAGAAAAGGTGGTGAAAAAAATCAGTTTTGTTTACTTGAACTGTGGTTAAATTTACTGAAAATTATTTAGCCAGAAATCAGTTAGGTAAATGATCAATTCATCAGATGACTAACAGATCTAAAATTGTTGGACCAAATATCTTAATCCCGATTTAAAATATTCACCTCAGCTGTTTTACTACCAGAGGCAAGGACTGGGATAGAGAAACAGGTCCCAATCCGGAAAAATATGAGTAAAGTTCCTCCATTCACTTACATAACATTGAGCATTGGAAAAGTATTAGACATCTCAAGTATTAACATGGGAATTGACACTTAATGGCCCAGGACTGCAAATCCATGCTGAAATGGCTGTGGCAAAGTCTTGGTGATACTCAACTTAAAAAACAAAAACAAAAACTCAGTAATTTGGCAAATAGATTACTCAATGAATTGACTTTTGGTGGACTGGTTTACTTCTTTTACTTACATACCCTTTACAGAATCCCAAAATAAATCAGCCTACAAGTATATAAAATCAAAATGGAATGAACAAAAGAAAAATAAAGACAAGCTATGACATCAAATTAAAGCAAGAATGAGACTGAGAATACATTTCATTAAAACCTGAACATGTTGCTGGCAAATCACATATGGACTTAGCTGTCAGTAAAATGTAGGATCCTAGGTAGACAATTCAGTGTCTGTAAGATAAAGTGAAAACAGGCCAATTGCTCATGAGATGTTCAGCTATACTTTAGAGTATCGTTTATGAAGAGTAATAGAAATGTTGAAATACAAATCATATTTGAATTAAATTTCATATAATTTTTGAATTTCTGAATATAGAAGTATTTTAAAATTATTCATTTGAATTTGTTTTTATTTTATTATGTTAATCACCATACATACATCATTAGTTTTTGATGTAGTGTTCCATGATTCATTGTTTGTGTATAACACCCAGTGCTCCATTCAATATGTGGCCTCTTTAATACCCATCACCAGGCTAACCCATCCCTCCACCTCCCTCCCCTCTAGAACCCTCAGTTTGTTTCTCAGAGTCCATAGTCTCTCATGGTTCATCTCCCGCTCCAATTTCCCCCCTTCATTTTTCCCTTCCTACTATCTTCTTTTTTTTTTTTTAAACATATAATGTATTATTTGTTTCAGAGGTACAGGTCTGTGATTCATCAGTCTTACACAATTCACAGCACTCACCATAGCACATACCCTCCCCAATGTCTATCACCCAGCCACCCCATCCCTCCCACCCCCCCACCACTCCAGCAACCCTCAGTTTGTTTCATGAGATTCAGAATTCCTTGTATCAGTGAGATCATATGATACATGTCTTTCTCTGATTGACGTATTTCGCTTAGCATAATACCCTCTAGTTCCATCGATGTCATTGCAAATGGCAAGATTTTGGGTTTTTTGATGGCTGCATAATATTCCATGGTATATATACACCACATCTTCTTTATCCATTCATCTGTTGATGGACATCTTGGCTCTTTCCATAGTTTGGCTATTGTGGACATTGCTGCTGTAAACATTGGGGTGCACATACCCCTTCAGATCACTACATTTGTATCTTTGGGTTAAATACCCAGTAGTGCAATTGCTGGGTCGTACGGTAGCTTTATTTTCAACTTTTTAAGGAAACTCCATACTGTTTTCCAGAGTGGTTGCACCAGCTTGCATTCCCACCAACAGTGTAGGAGGGTTCCCCTTTCTACGCATCCTCACCAACATCTGTCATTTCCTGACTTGTTAACTTTAGCCGTTCTGATTGGTGTGAGGTGGTATCTCATTGAGGTTTTGATTTGGATTTTCCTGATGCCGAGCTATGTTGAGCACTTTTTCATGTGTCTGTTGGCCATTTGAATGTCTTCTTTGGAAAAATGTCTGTTCATATCTTCTGCCCATTTCTTGATTGGATTATTTGTTCTTTGGGTGTTGAGTTTGATAAGTTCTTTATAGATTTTGGATTTTTAAGTTCTAGTTAGTGTTTAAGGTGTAAAATACCTGAGAGTAAGAAATTTTATTCATAGGTTTTCTCAAGTATTTTTCCATCCTGTATCTTCACTTTGGGAAGAAAATCTCACTACCATTTCCCTTTTCCATGTTACCTAGAGATCACTTCAAACTTAAATCACCTTTCTGGTCTCCATTCAGACTTCTCTCCTTCACATCCAGGTAGTTCTCCCTCCTAAAAGACCCAATGTATTCACCTTCCTTTCCAGCTCTAATTCTCAAGCCCTAATTCAGACCATCATTATTTTTTAAGTGGACAATTCAGACAACTTTTTGTCCCAACCTCTAAACTCTTTTTCAAATTTATGACTACTTGGCGTGTGGTCCTTGAATTACCTGCATTGGAATAGCATGCTGTCCCGAGTTAAAAATGTTGGTCCTTTCGGGGAGAAGATTCTCATTTACCTTTAGACACTACTATGCCTTGTACAAAGTGGTGTCTCAACAAATGTTTAGGTAGTGGAAACTTTTTATAATACATGACAGTCTTATATTGCACTTTTATAGTGCATTGAAGTGTATATTATATGGTGTACTTATTTACTTACGTTAATTATTCTGTTCAGTCTTCTGAAATAAAACATAAATCTTTTTTCTTCTCTAGTATATATAGAAATAAAGGTGTTATTGCTAAAGATTGAAATTAGTAACTTTTGAAAGCAAAATTATAATGGTAAAATAGACCTGATCTGTCACCATATCCATCATGTTGATCATCTATTTTCTTTTTGTCCTCATCTTTCAAATCTTGACTATTTTCAGGAACCATTTACTATCTTAGTCTTGGAAAAAATAATAAGCTTACTCTCTTTTGATGCATAATTTCTGATTGATAAAAAAGCTTATAGCATATGAATAAGGTGATATAAATTATATTTGTTTTTTCTGAGGAAAAGCTTATTGAGAAAACTACATCTTTCTCCCCTTCACAATTATTTTGACTACTCAGTAAGTTAAAGCTGTAACTTAAGCTTCAGATTTTCCTAGCAATCCATTTCTCATTTTCTAAAGTCCAGGAGTCAGAAGACTATATATGTAGCACAATATATGCAGTTCCCTTGGCAAGTATTTACTTTATAAATGCCAAGGGCAAAAATGTAAATGATAATGTCACTGTATTTGTCTGGTAAATTTTGGGCACCAAAATAATCTATTCCTTTTTTGACACAGGTGTATTTTCCTAGCTAAATAAAACAACTATTTAAAAATTGTAACTGGATTAAAAAAAAAAGATTGTAGCTGGATAAAAAAGATAAATTGATAAAACCCTTTAAATCTTGGCTAAAGTTTACTTTATTATTAATAAGATACTTTAAAAACTGAATGCAGATTCCTTTACATACTCTTTTCTTAGTCTCTCCTACTCCAAGTGTCACGAATGTCACTTTTATATTTTTCAATTTATGTGATGCATGCTGCTTGGTGCCTAAGAGCATAATAGAAAAATGAAAACCTAAACTAATCAAAAGCTTCCTATACTGGTGAAGATAAAACTGTTTTGATGGCTTCCTTCTTAGTGGCTTGTGGCATAAAAATGCACAGTTAGTAGAAGTATTGCTCCTATTCCTTTGAAATCTCAGGAAAAAATTTTTACTTTCTTCAGAATTAACTTTTAAAATTATTATTTTTTTTTAAAGATTTTATTTATTTATTTGAGAGAGAGAGAATGAGAGAGAGAGAGCACGAGAGGGAAGAGGGTCAGAGGGAGAAGCAGACTCCCCGCCGAGCAGGGAGCCCGATGCGGGACTCGATCCCGGGACTCCAGGATCATGACCTGAGCCGAAGGCAGTCGCTTAACCAACTGAGCCACCCAGGCGCCCTAACTTTTAAAATTATTTTTCACATGAGAATTACTGAAAAGAGTTAGTGTAGATAGTATTTTAAACATATAAATATAGACTATATGCATTAGGTTTTTTGACACAGTCCTGCTGTGACATAATCTTGGCCATGCTTTCATGGCTGAATATTATGATCAGTCACTTATCAAGCGTAAAAACATCTTGGTAACAATCAACAACAAATATGTAGTGGTTAAGAGCACAGGTTTTAGAGTAGTCCCAATTTCGAAATACAGTTCTGTTCCTTGTTGCCTCTGTACCTCAGGAAATTATTTAACCTTACTGGGTCTGAATTCCCTCAGTTGATATGTAGGAACAATAAAACTCACCTTATTGGTTAGAGTTGTTATGAAGATTAAAGTATATAATGTATTGAAAATGCCTAGAACAAACACAGTGCTTGGAATGTGGGAAGTAACTATCATCCATTATGGTAGCAAGAGTAGTATTTGTATTTTTAGTACCTATTTGAATGAAATATTCATAGACTCCTGGCCCCAGGTTAGGAATCATGGCCTAAAATGTAACTCAAGAACTTTTTATTATTTTTGGTTGCAGAATTGCCTACAGTTGTTCAAGCTAAATTCCTAGTTTAAAATTCTTTTGAGAAAAAAGCATATTTTAAAAATCCTTAACCTTCATACTAAAGGAATTCTCTCTTAAAAAAGAAGGAAGAATGAAGGGGGGGAAATTGGAGGGGGAGACGAACCATGAGAGACTATGGACTCTGAGAAACAAACTGAGGGTTCTAGAGGGGAGCAGGGTGGGGGTATGGGTTAGCCTGGTGATGGGTATTAAAGAGGCCACGTTCTGCATGGAGCACTGGGTGTTATACGCAAATAATCATGAAACACTACATCAAAAGCTAATGATGTAATGTATGGTGATTAACATAACAATAAAAATTATTTTTAAAAAGCTAATGATGTAATGTATGGTGATTAACATAACAATAAAAAAGGAAGTAAGAAATAATAAAACAATTATTTTAGATGGATTATTTTAAAAGGATGCCTTTCTTATATCTGAACGTATTACTAAGGACAATAAATAAGTGTATTTGTTTTGTTGGACATATGGAGGATAATAAAAACCAGACTCAGATTGTATCTATGCACTGAGCAGGATTATTCCTATAATGCACTAGAATTATGCTGGTGTAGGTGTTTCTGTTGGGGGACTTACAATGAGAAATCTCAAATATATAATATATGCTATGTACCCCATCATCAGCTTTAGAAATTATCATCTGGCCAATTGTTTTATGCCTCCGTCTACTTCTACTCTTCCATATTTTGCTAAAGCAAATCTAATACATCTTATTTCATCTGTAAATTTTCAATGTGTATCTCTAGAAGATAAGGACTCTTGTTTTCTACAAGAGTACCATTATCACACTTTAAAATGAGAATTTCTGGATATCATCAAATGTTGGGCATTGTTCACAGTTTCAATTGTTCCTTAGTTATCATAATTATCTGAAGTTTATTTGAATCAATATCTAGATAAAATGTATTTGATACATCTTTTAAGGCTCCTTTATTATTCTTACAGTTGCTTTTTTTTTTTAACTTCTTAAAATTTCTTTGTTGAAGAAACTGGGTAATTTGTAGAATTTCCTACAGACTGGATTTTGCTGTGTAGTTTAACATATACTTCTTATCCTATTTTTCCTATAAAGTTATAGAAATAGGTCCAGCCTTAATCAAATCTAGGCTTGATTTATTTAGTTGGGGGGCAAGATTAATTTATAGGTGATGGAGTGAACCTCCATGAGGAGGCTGATGTCTGTCAAGTTTTCTCTATTTGGGTGATTGCCAACCATTCAAGTTCAATGCTTAGATCCATAAATTCATCAGGTATTGCACAAGTGTTGATATTCTAACTTACACATTCCTTCTTGATTTATTAGCTATAATATTTCTATAAAGAGAAACTTCCGTCTGTTATTTGGATAGCTTCATGATTGGTTGAACTGATAACACATGAAAACAATCTATAGGGTTGTCATCACACAACTAATATTTTCAAATACCTGCCAACTTTGTGGTCATTATAGTTCAGAAATGGTGATTGATATATCTCCATGTGTTTATAGATACATATGTTTATAAATATGTTTATAGATACAGATCTCTCTATGTATTTAATGTTGAAGTCATTAAAGTAAGAATACCAAAGATATGCCAAAGGCAATGAACAATTATAAATTTAATTTAAAAAATAAAATTCCTAAGATTTGTACTAGCTTTTATAAATTTCAAAATATCTGAATTGACTTAGAATTTTCTGATCTGTTGATCACTTGTGTTTATTATGTTTTAATATATTATTTCTATAAAATGTTAATTAAAAGGGAATGCAGTGGTGTCTTTTGAAAGAAGAGGATGTCATTCCCCGTATCAGGGCAATGGAAGGCCGTAGAGGAAGACCACCAAATCCAGACAGACAACGAGCGAGAGAGGAATCCAGGATGAGACGTCGGAAGGGTCGACCTCCAAATGTGGGAAGTGCTGAGTTTCTAGATAACACAGATGCCAAATTGCTAAGAAAATTGCAAGCTCAAGGTAAGAAATATAATATATACAACACTGTAATAATCATACTAAAAAAGTCTATGTATCTCTTATGTTTTTGACTTATGAATGATTGATACTGCTCTCACTTTCTAAAAGTAGATATTTCTGTTAGAATAAAAATGAGAAAATAAAATCCCACTGGTAACTGGAGTTCTTTGATTAGGTAAGCTCCTTTCAAGAGCCATACTCATAAACACATTATGCCCTATGTGTTCAGAACTACAAAGGTGGGGGATAAGCTTTTAAGGCTTGCACAGAAAGGGAATCAACCAGCACTTGGCACATGCCTTAAGGTTGTGCCAACATTCTGGAAATTCTCATTTTAACAGCTCCCGATTCCTTGAGGTGGTACAAGGGAATAACTCCAAAATATGTGGATCTGTGGAGTAAATTTTCAGTTAGAGAACTCCAATTACTGGTAAGTAACCCCAGTCTTTTTAGTTTGAGTTCTTCTGTAGTCTGGATATATCACACATATTTTCAAAATGGCCAACTAATAGATTTAAGTCAAAAAGTATTTAAGATCACTAGAAAGTGTTACTTATCAAGCACAAAGTGCTCATAATAACCTCAAATGTGTTGTAACTCCAAACTACACATAAATTATCAACATGAAGTTCCCATGCTATGTCTGACACAGAGAAGGCCGACTAAAATAAAACAGTTCTGTTATGAGTTACCAGTTATAAATGTGAAGCCTCTTAAGGCTGTACATGTGTTGGTGTCTTATAGTCACAAGCATGTATGTAAACATATATATCAATATAAAATAAAGGTTTAATAATAAAAATTGACTTAAAAGACTAATAGGATTTTACTTCTTCTCGTGGTTTTTTTCTGGAGAAAAAGCCATCATAATATTGACTTCTTTATTGCTGCTTTGTTTTTATTATAAAACAGACACCCACAACAAAAACTCATAGAACAGAATGCTTCACAATAAAGAGACACTCATTCTCACTCACTTTAAAATAAAAGACACTTATAAGCGGTATCATTATTAATAGTTTTTTGTAAACCTATCCAGAAATGTGTACACATACTCCTATATACACACACACAGTCATATGATACAATATATTATACATACACATGTATAATATATTGTATTATATATATATCCTTTTTCACTTCTAAAATAAATAAATGAACTTATACATCCTATTCAGCTTGCTTTTTTCCACTTAATTTATCTTGAACATCTTTCTGTATCTGCACTTAAAAATCAACCTTACGCATTTAATAGCTGAATAGTAAGTGATGCACTATGTATGGCTCTACCATACTTCATTTAATCAGTCTTTTGTGATGATCTTTTGAGCTGTTTCTCAATCTTTGCTATCACAAACAGTCCTGCAATAAACAGATGTTACACATTTATTCATATCCTTCTATGGATATGGCTATCCATAGTATAAAATTGTAGAGATAGAATCTTTGAATCAAAGTGTTATGTGCATTTTCAATTTTGGTAGATAGTAGGCAAATATTGTCTCCAAAAAAAGTTGTACTAATTCATACTTCCACTAATAGCATGTAAATTAACTGCCTGGCATATAACTTAATGTCATATAAGTTTTTCTCTGCCGTAGTATGTTAGTGAAATTTTTTTTAGTTTATTTATTTATTAATTTAAGTGATCTCTCACCCAACGTGGGGCTCAAACTCACAACCCCAAGATCAAGAGTTGCATGCTCTTCCAACTAAGCCAGCCAGGCAGCCCATTTGTGAAATTTTTATGTTATTTGATTTGGTTTCTGTTAAGACTTTCATCTCCCCTGAATAGTTACTAGTGAAGGCTGAAAAAAAGTTATTAACAGATACAGCCATAAATGATGAGTTTTAAAATTAATATTTTCAATAATCCACTGACTCTTCTGATGAATGTATAATAGTGATGAGTATACATTGTTTGCCTAAAATAAGAAAGCTTAAAATTAACTGATACCCAAAGCATGGGCTCTTCACGCATATCATGCATATATAATACAAATACTATTAATACTTAGTATCTAAAATGGTAACTTTATATTTGCAAAATTAATTAAATTTTATTTTTAACAATATAGAAGCTAATTACTAAGTTTACCCAAATGTTTTTCTCCCTCTAGATTTCAATTTGGTTTGTAT